AAGGTTCATCCACTTTAAAAGATATCCATCTTCATTCTCACACTCAACCTTCCTCTCTTTCCCTTCATTCTAATTCTCTCTACGCTTTGTTTTCTCTTTGATCTAATCCCTCTGCTCTAGTTCTAGTCACCCACCAAAATAAAGAGAAAAGAATATAACTTTACTTTAGGAATTTTGAAGAATAAAATCAAAAGAGAGTAACCATGGTTTTTTCCTCCATCCAAGCTTATCTTGATTCATCCAACTGGCAACAAGTAAGTGCTTTACTATACCATATTTACACTTCTTACTTAGAACACACAAAAATCTTCTTACTTTTACATGTTCTAATTTTGGAATCAAACAAAAAAAAAATCTTATAATTCAAAGCAAAAAGAAGGAAATTATATAGAAATTCTTCTTGCTTAAGAATTAGCCATGATCTCATTTTGGAATCAAACTCAAAAGAGTAATCTTGATTCAAAGCAAGAAAAAGTTCTTCTTGCTAATTAGCATGTTCTTGAATATTCTTGTTCAATTTCTTTATTTTTCATGAATTGAATGTAATTTATTCAAATCAACCTTTGTTACAATAAATGTGTTTTTATGTTGAATTTCAATAACTCCTTATTCTTTCTTTTTTATATTAATTTGTAAATTATTTTAGGCTCCTCCAAGCAATTACAATCAGAGCGGCGCAGGTAGCGGTGGTCATATTCCTCGTCCTCAACTTCAGTCACAACCGCAACCGGTACCATCTAATGGAAGCGGAGGCGGCTCGATCCGACCAGGATCCATGGTGGACAGAGCAAGACAAGCAAACGTAGCCATGCCTGAAGTAGCTCTGAAATGTCCAAGATGCGAATCCACCAACACTAAGTTCTGCTACTTCAACAACTACAGCCTCACTCAGCCACGTCACTTCTGCAAAACCTGCCGGAGATACTGGACACGTGGCGGTGCCCTACGCAATGTCCCGGTAGGCGGTGGCTGCCGGAGAAACAGGCGTACCAAAAGCAGCAGCAGTAACAGCACCGCCACTAGCAACAACAACAACGCAAGCTTCTCCTCCGGGAATGCATCCACCATCAGTGCCATTCTCTCATCCAACTATGGAGGAAACCAAGAGAGTATCTTGAGCCAGATTTTGTCTCCGGTTAGGCTTATGAATCCTAATTACAATCATCTCGGAGATCTCACGGATACTAAT